TTATATTTGAATATTATTATAGTTTTTCCCCTTGCATTGCTTTTCTTTGAATAATTTTAATTTTTGTATATGTGTGTGTTTAGTGAATGATAATAAAGTTATAAAAAAATGTAAGTCAGTATAAATTTTTCTTTCCTTTGAATTTTTCCTAGACTATCTATAGGGAACAATGTGATGTCAATTTAGAAGAATATACTGAGCAAAGGGACCACAGTGTATGTCATGCCAATATTTGTATTCTTTGGGGCCTAATACAAACTAGGTTCTCTGGTTATTTGTTAAGTGAAAAAAACAAATGGTGCTCCTACCCCTACCATCACTGGCCAGTTGCCAGGGTTTGTCAACAACTGTGGATTTAACATGTTGAAGTCATGAAGGAATCTGAATTGTTCCATTGATCATGGGCCAGTCTGAATTGTTTGTTTCCTGTTTTTTATATATTAGTATTTTTTGTTGTTCTAAATTGCTGTAATTTTTCTTAATTTATTAGGCTGGAGGACGTGTACCGGTATTAGATACACTCATAGAACTTGTTACAAGAGGCCGATCTATCCCGGTACATCTGAATTCTTTGCCAAGACTGGAATCACTAGTAGCTGAGGTTCAAGCTTGGAAAGAATGTGCTGCTAATACATTCTTGACTGAGAATTCTCCGTATTCTCTCTTAGAGGTAAGTTTGCAACCAGCTCATCTGCAAGAACCTAGTTCTCCTAGCTTGGTAAAACATGCAAGCTGTCACACACAAAAGTGACATGTGTGTTCAGATCCAAAGATGGATCTGTGTTCTGTGAGTTGTTTTTAGCAACCCTTAAATGTTTTCTGGATACATTTAGCGTAGATTCCGTGCCTAAAGAACCTTTTTCCTTTTGGGTAAAGTCCTTCTCTGTAGAAATTGGTCTCTTAAACTTAGCCATGCTTCAGTACCTGAATATAGTAATCTTGGCACATGATGATTTCACTTCTCTTTCATAAAGTGTTTTCTTTAAACTGATCTCATGCATATCTGCGGATTCAGTTGGTGTATTGTGCATTTTTACTTATTTGATTGAATCTGAAATCAAAGTCGTTTTTGAGCAAGCCTGCTTTCCTTCTTTCTTTTTCTGTCATAGTCTTTTCTTTTGCTTTATCTGAAATCCATTTTATCTGTGGTTGTGATTTATCCCACATTAGGTGCTGTGTCCTCGATGTGATATTGGCCTTTTGGGATTGAAAAGGAAACAGAGAAAGTTAAAGGAGCCTTTGCCAAGTGGGAAGAAGAAAAGCACCAAACTAGAGACTCTGAGTGACCTCGAAAGGGCTTTAACTGAAAGCAAAGAAACTGCTTCAGCTGTGCGTAGTAGGGTTTTTTCTTCTCCTTTCTCTGTTGTTGAGGATAATTTCTAAATGTTTCAGGTGTACAGGAATATTGATAAGGCAAGTAGAATAACTTGAAAAAGTGCTCAGTTTTACTAAAAATAAAAATATCCCTGAACATGTATAAGATTTAGAGTAGGACACTCAGTCTTAAATCTTACAGTCTCGGAAAGAATGCTTGTGGATTGATCCATAAATTCTGGAAAAGGCTATTAAGGCTAACATATATGTGAAACTGCAATGCCAAGTTAAAATAGGAAGTACATTTAAGTGTAAAGGATGTAGTTCAGTCGCAGAGTTCCTGCGTAGCATGCATGAGGTCCTAGATTTGAGTTCTAGCACCACTGAAAGAAACATTGGAAGTTTGGATACCTACTCAAGTCTGACCTGCATTTAAGAAACACTTGGTTTGTTTGTTTGTTTGTTTGTTTGGTACCAGGGATCAAACTTGGGTCCTTGCGCTTGCGCAGCAGGCGGCAAAACCACTGAGCTAAATCCCCGGCCCAACACTTGGTTTTTTTTGAGATGGTCTCCCTTTGTATTTCTGGCTGGCCTTGAATTCACTATGTAGTCCAGGGTGACATTGAACTCACGGTGATCCTCTTGCCTCAGTTTCCCAAATGCTGGGATTACAGGCATGTACCACCATGCCTGGCCTTAATAAACTTTTTTTACGGGGCGGGTATACCGGAATCGAACTCAGGTCCGTCCTTGCGCTTGCGAGGCAGGCAGCAGAACCACTGAAAAATCCCTGGCCAATACATTCTTTTGAGTCAAGATATTTTCAAGAAGATGAGGTGATGTCTAGTTAATGTTTAACATTCATGTATAAAAATAAGTAGGTTTTTATCTTAATATACCAATGGTTTGTTCTCTGAATTACTTTTAGATCTTACTGTTTTTTCCTGTATACCTCATTCATACATTTTCTTCCTCAATCCAAAAAGAGAAAATGGAGTCTCATTCTGGCCTTGCAACTCAAGGTGCCTCATCTATAAATAACGATGGATCAGAAAGTGAGAGAACGTGATAATTGGAAATGTTTTAATTGTGATGTTAGTATCTTGAGTACTTGGGAATAGAATTGGGAAAATGGAACAGGTCCTACAGCCTATAGCTTTGTTTCTGGGGAAGAAAGCCCAGTGTTAAACAAGTTTGTCCTTTTCTCCCTATGTATTTGTTCTCTTTCAGTGAAATTATAGAGGAGAGCTTTAATGGTACAGTTTTTTACAGAGGCATCTAACAAGAGGATTACAAGTTCAAGGCCAGCCTGGGCTACATAGCAAAACCCTGTCTCAAAAAATAAAAGGGGGCTAGGGATATAGCTCATTGATAAGAGTGTCCCAGGGTTCAATCCCTAGTATCTACAATAACAAAACCTTCCATTTATGGACAGCTTGTACAAGGTGTTTAGAATTATGTTCAGTATCACTTCTGCTTATGACTGAAGTTGATATTTTCAAGTCAGTCATACAGGCTGAACCTCAGCACTTTCCTGGGACGTGGCCGTCTTTAATAAAGAGTAAGTCTATTCATGAGTACACTGCAACTTCTGTAAAAAGACATCCAATCTAGTTTCACCATCTGTATGTGCACACAGAAGACCTTAGTGTTGATGAGCAGGAAATGAGAAACATAAAATACTACTGTGTAGTGGGTGTGGTAGGAGACTTTCTATCTCAGGTATCTTTCTAGAAGAATACAAAAGCTAACAACTGAAAACAATTGGGAGAGCCTCAAATTAGTACACACAGAGTATAAAGTACCTGTACGTTTCAAGAGAAGTAAATTTTCTTGGAGATAAATACATAAGGAAGCCAGACTAAATGATGTATGTGAAGTAAAGCCTACAGTGTTTACTGTGCATCATGTCGAGTGTTCTGTCTTACATCTTACTTGTCATAACAGCACTGCAAGGTGCACACTATTAATCATCTTCATTTTATACACACAGGAAATTTGGCCACGGCAGATATGTTGCCGTAGGTCACACAGCTTAGTGTAAGGTAAAGGCAGGATTCGAATACAGATAACTTACTCTGGAGCCCATGCTTTTAACCATTACGGCCTTGAGTTTTCTATGCCAACATCCTTGTTTGTTAACTTCGTTTCAGATGGCAACTCTTGGGGAAGCTCGCCTAAGAGAAATGGAAGCCTTGCAATCTCTCAGAGTCGCCAATGAAGGGAAATTGCTGTCACCTGTCCAAGATGTGGAGTTGAAAGTCTGCCTATGTCAGAAGGCCCCAGCAACCCCTATGATTCAGTGTGAACTCTGCAGGGATGCTTTCCACACTAGTTGTGTGGCAGTACCCAGTACTTCACAAAGTCCCCGAATCTGGCTTTGTCCCCATTGTCGAAGGTCAGAGAAACCTCCCTTAGAGAAAATTCTGCCCCTGCTGGCCTCCCTGCAGCGCATCCGAGTTCGCCTTCCTGAGGGAGATGCACTTCGGTATATGATTGAGAGAACCGTGAACTGGCAACACAGAGCCCAGCAACTGCTTTCATCAGGGAATCTAAAATTTGTGCAAGAGCGAGTGGGCTCAGGACTGTTATCCAGCAGATGGCAAGCCTCTGCGGGACAGGTGTCAGAGACAGGCAAGGTGAGCTGGGACTCTTCAGGTTGCTGGACTCAGTAGAGCTGTGTGCTTTTTTTTTTCCTGGTCCTGTAGCTTTGGTGTTGCTGTGTCCTTGAAAATCCCTTCACTGTTACTAGCGCTCCCTGAAGCTGAGACTTCCCACTCCAAGTCTGTGCACTTCTGCTGCATCCTCTGTTCCCTCTGCTCCTGATAGTCAGCTGTTCTCAGGCACTCTTTCTCCACAGCACATATTCACCTTGTTGTATGTTCTAATAAGTTTTCCGTTATTTGTCTGTTAACCCATAGGTAGATATATAACTTGCTTATATATGTATTTTAAATTTTTGCTTGATAAAAAATTTTTTCCCCTGCTTACATGAAAGTCACTGAGTAGAAAGGGAAAGTTTCCTACCTTCAGTTCTTTCTAGCTTTTGAAAAAGAATAGTTTTTGGAAGTGTTAAAGTGCTGTGTTGTTTCATCAGAGAAAGGGGTATAGGGTTCATACCACATGTACTCTAGCTAGCTAGCTATTTTTTCTTTTCCTTTGACACAAGGTCTCACTATGTAGTTCAGGCTGGCCTTCAACTCAAACTCTATAGTCCAGGCTGGCCTCAAACTCAGTGATCTTCCTGCCTCAGCCTCCTGAGTGCTGGAATTACAGGCGTGTGCCACCAGTCTGGCTTTATATAGTCTTTCTCCCCAAAGCAATTTCTCACCATCACTGGGATAGGTGGGTTGTTTGCTATCTTCCTCCATAGATGGCTGCCAGAAAGGAGAGTAAAGATATTAGGAACACACAGTCAGAACAGCAATATTCAGTCTTTATAAAGGCAACTTAGCATTCAAATCCAGTATATATTTCTCTGTTGTAGATAGTAACTGTTCTTGTGCCATACAAACACAGACATATAAGTTAACTGTTTAGCAGGTTAGGAATGTCCTTATCATTATTGTCTCCCTCCCTTTCTCCCTCCCTCCCTTTGCAACTTCTGAAATGCAGTGCCTGGCACACAGTAGGTGACCAGTTAGATATTTGCTATATAGACTGTGTAGGCTGCCATGGAGTCGCTGTTCTTTACTAATTCATGGCCAAAGGAATGTCTGGCTGCTTCCTTAAATAAAACACCAGGGGAGGTAGGCAGGCACATGTAAATGATTTCTGACTAGTTTGGTTTACTCAGAGGTACACACCTGTGTTCATTGCGTTCTAATCTTCAATACAGAGAATTACATGAGCATTAAAAGTTTGTCGGATCGGGGGCCAGGGATTTAGCTCCGTGGTTCTGCCGACTGCCCCACAAGTGCAAGGACCTGAGTTCTGATCCCCAGTACCAAAAAAAAAAGTTTGTAGGATCGGGCCGGGGATTTAGCTCAGTGGTTCTGGTGCCTGACCGGAAAGCAAAAGGTCCCGAGTTCCATCCCTGTTACCAAAAACAAAACAAAAAAGTTTGTAGGATCTGTTTTCAACAAAGAAAATGGCCTATTAGCAGTTTTCACCTCCCCACAACCAGTCTGCCTCTATCAAGAAGATTAAAGGCTTTTTTCCCTGGAAGATACGACTTGATTGGTCAGTTCTGAGATGCTAGGGGAATCTTTTCATTTTAGGAAAATTAAGTCTTGTTTTTTCTCATTGTGTTTGTGATAGCCCAGACTATGTTCATTGGCCTGGTGAGAGTAGTTTTAATCCTGAAAAGGCATTGTTGTGTAAAATGTTTTTCTTCTATTAGGTATCTCAACCTCCTGGCACAACATCCTTTTCTTTGCCTGATGACTGGGACAACCGCACCTCATATTTACACTCCCCCTTTTCTACTGGACAGAGTTGTATCCTCCTCCACGGTTTGTATTTTTTATTATTATTACTATTTTGAGGGCTCTTTATCAACAGGTCATCTTATACCTAGGTCCTTGTTACATATGATCAGGTAATGTAAAGAGCTTTACCTTTAAATGAAGGATACAGGTTACTGTGCCTTTGCTAGGTAATAGAAGGCTCATATTTGAATGTTTCTAACTGCAAAGGAAACCAAAAAGGAAGATATTGTCATCATTTTTAGGGATGAAAGGGCTAATCTCATGCCAAGGAATAAATAAACACCAAGTATTTCGTGAGACATGGGCTCCCTTGTTTCTTCATTACTTAAAAGAGACCTTTGGAAGATCTTAGAGATAATCTACAGTTAAAACCTACTTTCATTTTTCTTATTTGTAAGTGACTACCCCATGAGTTCCTCTGGAGGAACTGATCCTTAGTCACAGCTTCTGAGTGTATCTAGTCCTGTGGTCAGAGCTCCTTGATCCACTCATTCCATTGTGCTGTGAGCTACCACTCACTTCAGTTTTTCTAGGATAAGCCGTCAAGGCAGACAGAGGTCCTGTGGTATCCCTTGTGCGTTAGAAATAAGCCAGGAGGGGATTCAAGTGTGGTTAATACTTCCTAGGAAGCAGAAGTCTTGGGGAATCTAGTTTGTACTCTTGTATTGTGCCTCAAGGCAGGTTAAGTGAGCCCATGTGAACTGAATGCATTTTAAGGAGAGGTTGGGAAGGGAATGAGGGGCAGCCTTTCTGTGTGTCTCCCAGGCCTAAATGTGCATATGTGAAGCATTTGTCATCATTTTGATTGGGTCTGGTCTTGAACAGGCATCAGTCCGGAAGTGAATGAACTGTTGATGGAAGCCCAGTTGCTCCAGGTATCCCTTCCTGAAATTCAGGAACTTTACCAGACTCTCCTTGCAAAGCCAAGCCCTGTTCAGCAAACTGACCGAAGCTCACCAGTTAGACCCAGCAGTGAGAAGGTGAGTGGCTTAAGGGGCATCCAGGAAGCAGTCTGCAGTGGTGTTGTACTTTTCAGCATTATTCCATCTAAGTAACTCTGTGACGGAGATGGTATCTTGATCTGCAAAAGGATGCAAGTTGACTACTTCACACCTCTGTTCTCAAGGCTGCTGGTGAGAAGATAGGCACTGGATGTCCACTACTGCATCCTAGGCTCATGTCCTGGGCTTGTGTCATTTCAAGTCGCTGTGGGAATTTTTTTTTCCTTTTAGAAAGGGGTGTGTTGCATCATTCCCATAATAATGAGAAGTTGGATTATTTTTGCCCTGTAAGAGAAACACTGTCGTGATAAAAACGTAATTACAGTTTTGGAGGACCTTTTGTTATTTCAGAAGTCTATTTCTAGAGTCAGCCTTGGACTTTTTTTTTTTTTTTTTTGTGGGACCAGGGATTGAACTGAGGACCTTGTGCTTGCCAGGCAGGCAAACTGCCATTGAGCTAAATCCCCAGCCCTTGAACATGCTTTTTGTTAGTCCTCCAGACTTAATGAGATAGCTGATGTGAGAATTGAGGATGCCCATCTTGAATGCTCACTTACTTGAAGAATATCTTGTAACATAACATCCTATGTCTTAGCAGAGTTAAAGCTATTGCTACTGATTCCTTCTAGGGAACCAAATGACCGGTCATTGAAGGCCCCTGAGGCTTGAAATCTACCAGGAACACTGAAGCCACATTTGGAAAGAATCTTACGAAAGATAGCATGAGGGCCTATAACTGGCATTTTAGAATTTTGTTTTAATTTTTTTTTTTTTTGGTACTGGGGATCAAACTCAGGACCTTGCGCTTACGAGGCAGGCGCTGGAACTACTGAGCTAAATCCCCGGCCCAAGAATTTTGTTTTTCATTACAATACCCGATATTTTAGCTCCATTATTGATTATGTTCAGTTAATGTACTTTAGTCTATAAGAAGTGGGAATGTATATCCTCAATTAGGAGCCCATAAATCAAAGGATAGACAGAAACTCTGGAATAGCCAGTCATATGGATATGGCAAAAAGAAGTGTCTTTGGCACCTTTCATCTCCTGATGCTGGCTGGCTAATTGGAAAGCAATCATATATCTTTCCTTTCCTTTTTCCATTGTTTTTTGGTAGCTCAGTGAGGAAGGAAAGAGGTTCAGTTCAAACTGTGTCCTGTAGGACTTGGAGGGGGTGGTCATAGTGGTTCGGATGCAGTTCAGTGTGCCCTACAGAGTCATCTGGTTTCTCCTTCACACATTTGCTTTAGCTCACTAGTTTTTAGTAGTGGGGAAAATGTAGGCTGAAATTTAATTTGCTCATCTTCTATCCAGAGTGACTGCTGCCGGGGAAAGCGAGATGGAATCAACAGTCTTGAGAGGAAACTGAAGAGACGCCTGGACAGAGAAGGCCTCTCCAATGAGCGGTGGGATCGAGTCAAGAAAATGCGGACCCCCAAAAAGAAGAAAATAAAACTGAGCCTCCCCAAGGACATAAACAATTTCAAGTTAGAGAGGGAGCGTAGCTATGAGTTAGTCCGCTCTGCTGAAACTCATTCCCTGCCCTCAGACACATCCTATTCTGAGCAGGAGGACTCTGAGGATGAAGATGCCATCTGTCCAGCTGTGAGCTGCCTGCAGCCAGAAGGAGATGAGGTCAGTGAAGTTTGGGCCATAGAGGACGTTCTTTCCCTTAACTCAGAAACCCTGTAAGCTAGACCTCGTCTCGCTGGGTCTTTCTCTTCTGCTTGTCTGCTTTGAGCTGATCTGAATGGATTGCTCAGTCCTACCCCCACTGATATCTCTGCTCTTACCATCGTTCCTGGGTCTCCTCCCTTTTCTTGAAGAAAACTCTTGTTCTTCCCTTTTTCCTTCTCTTGCTCCTCCAGCTTTCACCGTCCCGGCGCTAAGAAGGTGGGAGGGATGCTGATGTAATGCCCTTTTGCTTACTGTCGCAAGGCAGCACTGTCTTAACCCAAAGCAGTCACGACATGAAGAATGACTTTGACTTGGTTGCTTTGGCTGGTAAGCCAGCTACGCTCATATGGCTTGGCTGTTGTGCCAGAGGTCCCAGTGGTGGGACAGTGGCCGTTAGTGGCAAACGGCCTGAATATCGTGAGGCTGGCCTGTCCAAGTTTGAATCACAGTTTTCCTCTGAACACCCCATCTCCCTACTCTTTGTAACCAGGTGGACTGGGTCCAGTGTGATGGCAGCTGCAATCAGTGGTTTCATCAGGTCTGTGTTGGTGTTTCTCCAGAGATGGCAGAGAAAGAAGACTACATCTGTGTGCGCTGTACTGGGAAGGACGCACCAAGCCGAAAGTAAAAACAAAACAAACACCCCCACTTAATGTAATTCAAGACTCCAACCAAGATGATTTTCTCAAATCTCAGCAAAGCTACAGGACTGGTGTCCAAGCCAGCCTGTACATGGTGCTATTTCTATTCCTTATGGGATCATTTTTCCAGAACTCTTTGAAAAAAAGAAAAAAACAATGAAAAAAATTTTTGACACTTTTTGTATTTTTTTCCTTAAGAGCTGTTTGTGGTTGTTGAGGTTTGAAATGCTGACTGTTTTTTGCAGGGGTTTCCACCAACTTGGAAGGCATTGAAGCTTGCACCTTTTCATGTACAGCATTAAAATTGTACCTCTGTCTGGGATTTACCGTTCAACTCAGTTCCGTGCCCAGAAGGGGCACCAGAAGTTCCAGTAAATCCTCAATTGAGGAATCTTTCCCTTGTTTACTCTGTTACCATATTGGGGAATTTTAAGTTTTTCACTTTTGGGGTTTTTGTTTGTTTCTTTATCTACTTTTCTTTTTTTCTGGTAGACTAGGTTTATTTATCTGAGCAATAACTTCTATGTTGGTTTCAGTGGCTGGAATTAAAACAAAACAAAACAAACTTCTGAACAGTGTGTTGGTGCTTTAGCAATTGGTTGATGTACAGAACGCAGGTGTCTAGTTTCTAGTGTCACTGATGAACTAGTGATGTAGAAAAGAGACTGCTCTGTAAGTAATTGCCACAGCTGTATTTTGGCTTCCTCCCTGCCCATTCCTTCCTCCCCTCTTTTTTGGTAGCTTGTATCAAATGTTGCAGTTTATATTGTGGAATAAATCCTTGGTCCTAATATAACACTAAATGCTGGTTATTTAGAACCATTAGATTATAGCTTCTTCTGCCCCTCCACCTTGTGGGCTTGCAGAACCAGAAGAGCTTGCTTGCTTTGGCTTCTGTCTACCCAACCTGCAATAGCAGTGAACGTCAGGCTGCAGACAACATGAGGGGAGTCTCGTTCTGTAGCCTGCCCTTTTTGGTGGCCCATATGACTCTAGGCCCTATTAGTAAAGAACCTCTCAGTTTTTGAAGACTATAACCTGCCCCAAAGCGATTCTCTTCCTAAATAGGCTCTCTGAGAAGGTTGGTGAATCACTCCATTGCTCAGATTAGACCTTCTTATGGAAATGACACCTTTACTATATTTTACTTGACAGGGAAAGTTGGTTTAGGGTTAAGAGGTTGGAAGAAAATCAAAGGAAGATTCATCTTCATGGAGAGTCAGGTTTAGCATGAGTCAAGGGAAAACTTTTAAACACCCAAGCTCTGCTTTTCTGGTCTCCTTTCCTGTCTGTCTCTAACTTTCTGGATCGTCACTGGTTGTGGATAGCTCATAGCCATTTTCCTTCCTTTTCTTTTTAATGGGATCAGTTCTGCAGTGGAGAGGGCATCCTGGTGAACAGAACACTCTTTTTTCCTGTTCTGTTGCTGATGTTTGTTTTCCTCACATCCTATAGCCATAAACCCGAAGGTGGGTCGAACAAGTGGGTCTTGAATGAAACACCACCAACAGAAACCAGTTTGTGCTGTAGCATAGATTTAAATGTACTGTCCGCTTTTATGGAATTCAAATAATTAAATCTCTTTAAGAATGACTCCTAGTTGTCTGCAGTTTTCCTGCAGTTGCTGTGATGTCTTGTCCTTGTCTGATCAAGGTTCTGAGGTCAACAGGAAAGAATAGTCTCCAGTACACAATCTGGAATAACAGTACGTTGGCCTTTTTAGTATCCGAATTCTTTCCCCACCCCCTGAGAGGAGAACAGGATACTGACTGTCTCGGTTCTCATCTTCAACTGAGAAAATAAGCTTTTAAGGGGACACTTCTGAGGCTAGCATTATAGCTCATAGTGGAGCTTTTGCCTAATGCATTCAAAGCCCTAGGTAACCTTCCTGACACTGCAAGAAAGTCAGGGAGGCACTGCTGCTAAAATGAAGCCTTTGCCTTTAGAGCTCTCGCTTGTTGCGTGTAAACACCCCCCCCCCCACCGCTCCCTGCTCATTCTTCTGCACCTGTAGGTTGTGCTCTATCCCTGACGATAGCAGCCTTGATGAGGCAGCATCTCTGTATGTCTGAGAGAGGGGGAAAGGCAGGCAGATGTGTATTTGATCAAGCCCTGCCTAGGTGAGAACTACTCTTCACACATGCTATTGCTGGAGTGTCATTGCCCGAGATTACACTGCTAGTAAATGACAAAGCCTGGGTTTTTTTCTTCAGTTCTAATGTGTCTCCTGCCTTGTGCACTGTGAAACACTGCACATGAACACCAAGATACGTTTGCCATCCAGTTTCCACCTTCTGTTGCGTACCCAACACAACTGCAGACCTGTGTCGTCTAAAAACCGCGTTTCTCTGTGTGTTAGCCGTGAAGCTGGCCTGGACCCTAGAGGACCTTGGAAGGAAGGAAGGTGAAACATACAGGAATTGTCACTTGAGTTTCCCTGCATAGCTCCTGGAGTGGGGACAGGAGGACCCTGGGATGTAGAGCCCGAGCCTGAGGGCCAGCAGGTGACCAGCGAGTCTGGGGAGCTGAACCCCACAGGGTGAAGGGGAGTGGGTTCCCCACTCAGCATAGCGCGACTAGTGGTGTTGCTTCCACAACAGATTCTAGGGGGGTTCTTAGAGAGTAGAGCACTTGGTTGTATGAGCCTCTGTCCTGGAGAAAGATTGTGTAACTTGGGGTGACTATAAAAAGAGAACTATTTTTTTGTGGTGGTTTGTTGGGATCAAGCCCACAGCCTTGTTCATGCTGAGCAAGCACTGTACCACTGAACTACATTCTCAGCCCCAGATTCATTGCAGCCTTCCTGGAGGTGGGGCTTGTTTTTCTATCTCAAGATTAACTTAAAGCAGAGATGCCGCTTGTGGTGGAGGTCAGTACAAACCTCAGTTTCCCTTTGTTCTGCTAGGTAGAACTGAGGAAACTGAGATGTAAAGATCTTGAGGCTTTGAATCGTCTATTTTGGCAGGAGTCTCTGAGATTCATCTAATTTGCTGTTACAGTCACCCTAAAAAGCCACATAGTTCTTGGGGTATCGGTGCCAGCTTGAGAACGGAGCAGAAGTCTACCCAGAAGGGGCCAAACCTTGGCTTCTCTTTCTGCCTGTCAGTGTTGTACCCTGAAGGCCTTTTGTAGCAGATTTCTGCGTCGTATTTCTGCCTGTTAGAAGATGGATGTTTGCAGTCCATTAAGAGCTGTTTCTGGCTTGGAGCAGGCATTGATTAGTAGTTACTACACATGGGCATTTTTCTGGGCCCAATTCTACCTGGGTTTCTCACCGTATAACACGGACTGAAATGGATTGCAGTGCTTTCTACCTGTAACTATAGGTAGAATTGGATAGCAGGTTCTTTTAAGAGTTATTGCCTGTTGCCAAGCATTGAGCCAGAGCCTGTCATTCAGTAAGAGATCAGCTAGTCTGTGTGAGGTATCAGCCTATATTAAAATGGTTGCTTGCCATATGCTGCTGAAATCTGAGTCCCCTTGTGATAAAACGTTTCCTGTTGGGAAGAAGAGCCAGGGAAGGCAGTGAAGATCTCACTGGCAGCCTTTTCTGAACTCCATTTGCAGGTCAGCGTCCTTGCTCAGTTCGTAACCATGAAGCACCAATGCAACAGCTTCACTCTGAAGGCCCTCTGTCCTCAGGCCCCTGCACGTGGCTCTCAAGCCGCTCAGCTTTCTCTGAGCTCTTTTACGTGTCATAACATGTAATAGAAATGTTACTGGAAACCTGCCTAAACAAAAGAACTGTATAAAATACTGTTGTAATCCATTTTTAAGGTTCAAAGAATCAATTTGTAAAGTATATTTCACTTGCCAATTTATGTAAACAAATTTTCATGTCTAAGTACTGCTTACATAGGGGTGCGCCTTTACATTTTCATCAGTATAAATGGAACATTTAAAGCCAGCCACCAAGAGAACAGATAATCCAGCTCCTTGTTTTGCTTCTGGGTTAATTACACAAGGATGAGGGGCTGTGATCTGGTGAGTTGGGGTGTTTTTAATTTCCAGGGTGACCCACAGACATGGAGGAGAAATGGAATGGTGAGGTCATTTGATCTGTTCCAGGTGAGTGGAGGCCAAAGAACTTTTCTTCCTGCTTTCTCTTCCATGGGAGCATAGAGAAATTAAAATTGGCCTTTAAAAATTGCCTTCCTGAGGGCCGGGGATTTAGCTCAGTGGTTCTGCTGCCTGCCTTGCAAACAGAAGGACCCGAGTTCGATCCCCGGTACAAAAAAAACAAAAACAAAAACAAAAATTGCCTACCTGAAAACAAGTTATTAGCTCAAACTAAAAATGGGCCAAACATAGTTCCTGGCAAAATTGGCCGACCAGTATTTGAGGAGAGCACTCAACCACCACCTCCTGCCTGCACCTGCCTGCACCTGCCGGGCCTTTTTCTCCTGAGCACAGTACTGGTGTGAGCACACACACAAAAAAAGTCCCTTTTGCATATGATTGGGACAGGTGCTTTAACAATCAAAAAGTTAAAGGATGAAAAATAGTTCACTTTTTTACTTTATGAGACAAGGTCTTACTATGTTTCCTGGGATGGATGATCCCTGCTTTAGCTCCCCTGGCAGCTGGGATTACGGGCATGTACCACAACACACAGCCTCATTTATTTAATTTTAACATACATAAATCATAAACATACATACTCATTAACCTCCTAACTCTAAAGTTGAGTTTGGGGTTGAGAGCCTGAGCAGGCTACAAGTGCTCGGTAGTCCCAGACCACGAACATAGTTCTTTTTTTTTCTTTTTTTGATACCAGGGATTGAATTCAGGACCTTGCACTTGTGAGGCAGGCACGTTACCACTGAGCTAAATCCCTGGCCCCCATGACCATATTCTAAGGGAAATGTAGAGATAGTTTGTTAGTCCAAGTGAAGAGCTATCTGCTGCTTTTCCGTTACGGGGCTTGGCAGGACTCTTGAATTCCCAGGAGACAGCTCCTATTAAAAAACGAGGTCAAGGGGCTGGGCTTGAGGCTTAGTTATAATCCATTTAACCTAACTTGAGCAAGAGCCTGGGTTCCATCCTCAGCACTAGGGGGAGAGAAAGAAGAAATAAAATGCCCTGGAACTTCTTGATCGATTAGCCTGGCGGCCTCCCTTGAAATTGTGTTCTGTCAATGCTAATCGATCATCTCTCATGGTCATTTCCCTAGGATTAGCCTTTGGGCTGTAAATAGCAAAGAGCCCTATTTCAGGTGTGAAAGCTGAAGAGATTAACTTGCCCAAGCCTGTCCTTGGGCAAGGAGAAGTAGACTTGGAAATCCAATGAGACTGATGTGAACATGAACTTTATTCTAAAGGAGAGCCTATTGCTCTTGTTTATTTTGCTTATTCCTTGTCCAGGACTTTTACAGGTTTCAAAGAAGTGAGAATATTGGCCCTGATGTGGGTGAGCCTTCTTCATCCTGTCCCGGCCTCCACTCTTTCCTTGCTCCCAGCTTGTAGTGAATAGTTGGCAGATAGGACCTAGGGCTTCACGTCCAGTCATTATTTTTGTGGTCCTGGTTGGAAAGTGCTTTTATTTTTTAAAGACACCTCATACTCTAGCAGCCATGTTTAGTCTGCTGACCACTCCCAGCAGGCAAAATGCCTCTGTGATCAGTTTCCTTTCCCTGCTGAGGCTGAGGACACATGGTTGGTAATGTGGTTTATTCTGTAACTACCTCTGTGACCTCCAGCAGCTTCACTAGAGGAAGGAGGCCCTGGGCACAAGCTCCTGGGCTCTGCCATGTCTTAGAAGATTAGAAGAAGCCATAATGGTTTTTGACCTACAGCTTTGTTTCCTTGCTGTCTGTCCACTATATTCTCCCCATCCAAAGAAATTCTTCAAGGAGCAAGAGTGAATAACCTAAGGAGTACTTGTCTTTCCTCTCTTTTTCCCAAAGGGGTGGGGTGTGGTGCTGGGGATTGAACCAAGGGAACATCACACCGAGTTGCATCCCCAACCCAGGCGGGATTTAGTTTTAATCCTCTTGCCTCAGTTTACCAGAGTGCTGGGATTACAAGCATGGTTATATCCCACCACCCCCAGTTTAAGAAAGACTTCTTATTGAATCAAGGGAAGGGTCAGGGCAAAGTGTCTCGATAAGCCTTCAGGTTGGCACCCTTATTTTGCTCCGATTCATTTAGTGTACGTGAGTTACTACTGGATTTAGGTAACACTGGCTGCCACTCCAGGTTTGGCCACTAGGTGGCACTATTGGCTGTCCATAGTTGCCATGGATCCCATGACATTTGACAGGTTCAACCTAACTCCTGTTGGATTGGCCAGAAGAGGGAAACAAATTACATTGAGTTTAGATGATCTTCAATAAGCTTATTAAGAGCTCTTAAGACTCCAGCCCTTTCTGGCTAAAATAGATAAACCTTTGGATCTTTGTACATCACCTTACCCCCAAATCACTGTTAATCCCCAGGCATCTTCACTAGAGAAGGCTCGAGGGCAGGATTGGCCCGTACTACTGTGGCTTTCTGTGGGTCCAGAATGGCTGTGTCCTGGGAAGCAGACAGGAAGTGATTGTGTCTCTGCTGGATGCTCTAGCGCCGAGCACTGAGGAGGCAGCCATGGAGAAC